TTCTTTTGATGTTTTGTATGTTCAGATATTCATGTAACAAAATATATACAAATTAATACATAAATAGGGACATAGTAGTATAAATTAGTAAATTAGTAGTTTACTGAGATTATACTTCAAAGTGTACTAAAAATGCTACTACAAGTATTTAATTAGTAAACTATCAGTATACCTAGAAGTTCACTTTTAGTATAGTTGCAGTACAAACTAAATATTTTGATGTAAACTAGTTGTGTACTCAAAGTTTACTACTGTTATACATAAAGTATACTTAAAAGTATACTGTTATATACTAGAAAGTGGGCCAATTTAGTCCCAAGGAGTATTGAAATAGTACACTTACAAGTATACTACTAGTACACTGATATTTGTAAACTTACTACATAAAGTATACTTAAAAATATTCTTGAACTTTACTTAAGTATACTTACTAAAATAAACTTGAAGTATACTACTTTTTGGTAAGGGAAAGTAGATGTTCATAAACGTTTTCTCAAAAAAAAAAAAAAAAGAAAAGAAGGCTTCCGAATGGAGCGGTAAGGAATATTTGATATGAATTAATAAAGTTTAGGTCTCAGATTTTTATTTTATCTCGTGTCATAAATTTGTCAAATATTTTCAACGTTGCAAGCAGCTATAAAACATGCGCACCACTACGACTTCAACTGGCCTAAGATGGAATGACAATAGGCTACTACATATTAGATTGCTGAAATATATTTAAAATGTTTGACAGCTTAGTGCCTCATTGGGCCTGTTTTAAATACATACATCATCATTAAGTTATTATATAATATTATATAATACAATTAGTTAGGCTAATTGGTAAATTTATAGGCAGAGAGAAATCTAACTTAATTCAATTTAAACAAATATTTTCTGTATTTTACATTTTGTAAGAATTAAAATGATTTAAAAACATTTGTGATCATGATAAGCTTTATAGTTTTGTTTTCTAAGAATTTGACAATGTACCACTTGAGAAAATAGTGCTAAAGTGACCAAGATCAACTCTAAATAGTTTCTAAAGTAGGCTTTGTGAAAATTAAAAAATGACTTGAATGGGTTCTCGGAAGTCAAACTGACACAAATAGACTGAAATAAAATTAAATAAGCATCAAATGTTTATAGTCTAGCCCGTGACAGGCCAGAAGCAAGGCAGTTTTTTTCTTTTCATTTCTTGACTGAATGTTTATTGGTTTTTAACAACAATAACATACATAATTACAAATGTCAAAATTACATAAAAATAATAATAATCATAAAATACAAATTTACAAACATACCCACCCACCCCAAGGAAAGTGTGCATGCATAACAACAGCATTAAATATGAAAAGAAATTACAGCATTCTCCATGGTATGTCTACCTGGCTGAGCTCTAAAGTTTTTTTAGTTGAGTCTGGTAAGATGGCAAAAAAAAGGAGACCAGATACATCTGAAAGTATCCACACTCCCCTTAAGTGATGCACTAATTCTTTCAAATGGGAGTACACTGTAAATCTCTTGAAACCACTGGTGAATTGATGGTGCTTTGTTCTTTTCTTTTCTTATTTTAGGTTTAGGTTTGCATAACCACTGGAATTCCCTTCAGGGCACATACTAGTGATGCATACTTGAGATAAAAACACAAAAGCACAACTCCTGAGGCTGTTTAACAGAGGCACTTCGGAACATCCTTATTCATGCCCTAAAATGTGACCACAGGAATTATGTGACCCATAAACGTAACAGAAGGACTAGCTTTGTTTTTATTGTACAAA